AAAATAGGTCAAATTTGACCTTTGACCTATCATAACTCGGTCAAAAATTGAGATATTGATCTGCGGTTTGCGCCAAAATTCTTAGTTTTTTATGCTCTTTCGAATGAAGTATCACAAGATAGGGGTTGCTATTTGAAAAAAAAAGTTGGGGGGCCCCTGTCCCGCCCTGAGGGGGGGACCAAAATTTTGACCCCCTCAAAAGATGGTCCCCTTTGAGATAGGAACATTCCCAAAGTTTCATTTCCTTAGCTCAATTCGTTCAAAAGTTAGAGGGGGGGTCGGGGACTTTTCGCTCACCCTGTATGTAATTTCAAAGCAGTTCTATTTTTGCCGCGTTTTCATCGACCAATAATAGAATGTAGTTGCATTAGTACTGTATTTCAGCACCAGAGACCGCTGGAGTCAGAGATGCACAGAATTTACAGAATGCACATCATGGCTAACATGGCTTAATTTAGGTTAGGAATAATAATGAAAAATGAAGTAAACGTTCATACACAACAAGTTAGAGTCTAGTTTGAGTGAGATCCTACCGCTGACATCATGACATTTGGCCGCTTAGATCGCTTGTTCGTAATCAGTTATAGACATAAAAATTCGATAAGTTACAGTTCACGCGTCGGGCCGATGGTTCTGTATCGTTATCTTTGTCCTTGCCGAAGCGGGCTTGCCCTTCTTAGTGGCCATCAGAATCTAATTTGTGAAGGGGTCAGAGATGATCAACAGATTGTGCATGTGAGGAACTTCATTCGGTAGATGTACAGGGTAGAGGTAATGTAATGCTTACTTTGTCCTCGATATCCTACTGTTAGTGCAGGGTCAGTAAATGAAAGTTTCTTCACCATGACTCTGTTGTGAGGTTCTTTACCCCTCAGAGGTGCTTCATTTTCAGAAAATAGCTCTTGACAGCCTAGGTGAAACCAATCTCACCACCTGAAGCTGATTTTCTGAAACTCTGGATCGCTTATGTAGCCAAGGAGAATTTTGCAAATTCTATACTTATTTTTTCATGCACTGAAACACTCACTCGGACCATCTTCATTTCTGGCTAACAAACAATAGAATCTAAATTGTATCTTCAAGTACCACCTAATCCCTTTGTCACAACTGGATTACATTTCCTAATAGGGAGCCACTATCTCCAGCCTGTTCTCAAAAAAATCTTTCTGCGTAGGGAAACCAATGACACATATCGACGGTGAAAGTCGCAGCAATCACATAACTCGTTTGCGGTGTCTGAAAATCTCCGCCTCTACGTCATTTTTTTAAAGGAGAACAAATTGATATTATTTCTTGAAATTTTTGCAGAATTTTCTTCGCATTGAGAAGAAAAATCATGACAGTTTTAAAGAATCGCCGTTGAGTAGTTTTCCATTTAAAAAATAAAGTATGAAAGGAAGTTTGCGACGTCGCAAACCGAGTTATGTGATTGCCGACTTTCACCGTCGATATGCTATTTCTTAAATGAGCCAGAAATAGTAGTTCCTTATTGCAAAATGTGGTCAAACTTATCCATGTAGGTCCTCTTCCCAAAAATGTGTATGCACCATTTACATGACAGTTTTGTCAATTGTAGCATTATTCACAACAATTCAAATTGGCAAATATTAGGGACATGATTTATTTGTAAGTTATTTGTCAGCTTATATCTTTTAATTTCATCGATGAGGACTTTTCATTTCAGAGGTTGAGACCTGCCTTACCCTTTCCTAGAAACTCGTAACGCCATACATAATGCACAACAGTTGGCATGTTCTAAGCTTCACTTTAATGTTGATCCTTTCCGTCAGGGTTATTTTGTGCATTCATGGGCTCCATGAATCTAGGAAAAATTGGAAGAGGACAATTTTTTTGTAATTCATCAACAGAACTTATATTAATTATGCAACTTCAGGGTATAAATTACTGCACACGCGGGTCATAAATGATAATGTAAAACTTGCAACCTCTCAGTTTCTGTAAAAGTGGAGCCTCATCCTGTCATTCATGAGCTGTTTTGGAAAGCTCCGTTTCCCACGAAGTATTTGGTTTTAGATAATTATATTGTCCTCATCTGCTGTGGCGTTTTTTAATTATGGATTTACTGCTATCTATACAATTGAGGGGTGGAATCCCTTTATGGTATGGGCTAACCTAAAGTAGTTCAGTCAATTATGTAGATTTTTGCATAGACCACGTTCAGCATTTTCTCTTGTCCTCTTAATTTTATGATTCAATTGTTTACTCCTGAATTACATTTCACAAAGAAGTATCATCTGAATTTTTTCCAGCGCTCCTGAGGCTATACGGGACCAGTTCCAGTTCAAACAAAAAAGGCATGCCTTACATCACCAAAGGAGCAAAACTCAACCAGGAATTCCTGGAGACCTAAGGGAAATGGCAGAAGCCATTGCTGAGTTTCCGGAAAGATTTGGAATGAGCGACGATGAAGTCATTTTTTATGGAACTCATGGGACTGCAGAAAATTCAGTCTCCGTTTTTGCAAACAAGCAATTATTAGATCAGGCAGCATCCGTTGAAAGAGCCCATGTCGATGGAACTTTCAAAAGCCGGCCAAGTATTGACTGTGTGAAACAGCTGTTTACGATATTGGGCATTTTTCATGGAGTTGTAAGTATTATTTGAGATTTAGTGAAACAAAAATATTTTTGTATACTTCTTGTTTTTTTCCAATTGGGTTTTCTTATGCCTCATAATATATCCAGCTAAAAATGTCTCCTTTTAGACGAAATTAATTATCTGAGGGCATCATTCATAATCATTACCGAACAAGACAAAGGGGTATCAGCTGCTATTGAGATTAGATCTGCCTTTAACTTGTACAAAAATAATTTCCCTCTCCGAGTTATTGCCACTCCTTAATGCTTGTCTGCATTTAGCACAGGATGAAGCTAAAAATTGGATTGATTCCATTTGAGGGGCATGGAAGACAAGGAGCATAAGTGCAGCTTTCGCTATTTCGAGAAATATGTGTTTGAAGTTTCAAAATTACATGGAGTCTTATGGCGGAAAGAAAGCTCAAACTGACTTTTTAGTGCTTAAAAAGTAGAATTTGGCTACGAATTTTTCACAGATTATGCATTGAGACTAGTTTTACTTTGAATCATTGATATCTCAATTTTTGCAATAACTTCACTTATGCGCCTTGCCCTCCAAGCCCCTCATTTAAAGTTTTAGATTATAGTTTTTTTGGAGTCTGATGTTTCCAAATTGATTAACAGCAGAGATGTAGTGCTTTATAAATGAAAATTTTGCTCTGGGACCTAACCCAAAAGACATATTAAGGAGGTGTACTTAAAGTCATAATTTTTACTGCTTTGCACCTATATTTTTTCTGATTTTAGTGTAAGAAAATAACATGGAGGCTGAAGTGAATGATGGCCGTGTTATATACTAAAAAATAATTGTCTTTTTGTCATCTAATGTAATGACTCTCAGGAAAAAAGACCTTGGTCTTCTGAAGGTCAAGTGAGTCATGCCAGAGAATGCTGGAACTTCCTACAAACTTTCAAGGACTAAAGGAAAAAAATAATGATTAAGTTAAATCAAACTAGAAAAGGGTGACTCAAAACTTTAAAACTGTAGTGCATGATTTGAAACCAGTCCTTTAGCATTTTTTTAAAAAATTTTTTTTTAATGTAGTGAATTTTATGCTGTTACCTAATTGTACATTTACTTGCAGGCTCTCCCACTTTTTTTTGCATTTATGTGTGGGAAATCGGAAGAAGCATATAATGTGTTATTTGGATGCATCAGAAGTCTGTTCCCATTGTTCAACCCGAAGATAATAGTCTCAGACTATGAGCGTGCAATACACCTGGCCATAAAATCATTCTACCCTGAAACTTCGCATGTCGGCTGTTTTTTTCATTATGCCCAGGCAAGTGACCTTCTGAACATAAATATTGGTATTTTGTCAGTTTGCATCTAAGCAGCATTCAAGGATCTGATGCGCCTGAAGTTCAATGCAAAACAACAAGTATACAAGTGTCAGTTGCTCTAAGCATTTGAGGTTTCAAGATATTTTGGCATTTTTCTTTTTGGTTTTTTTAATGCATCTCTTAGAGAACCCGATAGAAGAAACATTGTCTTTATTTGCATGAACAGGAGAGAACAAAAGATCTGTCTCAAATCTTGACTGCCTTAGTATCTGTTAGTTCCCAATTTCATAATCGAAGTTCATTTCTGTGTTGAGAAGAATTCAGAAAAACTACCTACTTCTTTACCAGTATCTGAGTGCTAGTTTGGAAGTGGCTTATACTGATTGAAATTTCAATAAATCCAATGCGTATTGTCATTACCATTACAATAATCAGGCATTCAAGCAAGTTAATCCCATTGATAATGGAGATCTCCTCCTCTTTAATGTATTTAATAAATTTACAGCAACTTCTTTGGTTCAGATGCACTTAATATTACCTAGTATAGCAGGGTTTCTTGGCGTACTCAACTGAAAGACAGAAGCCCTAGAACATCTTTCATTTTTCTAATTACAGTGATTCATAAGAAAATATAAAACAAATTGGAAGTGCAAAAGAAAGAGAAGAAGATAAAAGACCAATATTATTCCAGGACTCCAGAAGAATAGGCAATTTACTTAAGAAACTGCAGATATTGTCATATATTTGAAAATTTTTGCATATTTTGTCTGCATGAACTAATATTCTCATATTCAAGGATGAATTTGTGACAAAAAGTAATTGCTCGTTTGCGATTATGATTTAAAGAAGATTAAGGATATGTCCATCAGCAAGCGTCTTTCATTAAATATTTAGCCTTTACAAACTGATTCTTTTATCGACTAAATTTTTTTTTTAATTTCAGGCCCTCCTGAAGAAAGCACGGAGTCTGAAAATTGATGTGTTAAATGAAAATGAAGAGAGGAAAGTTGTGAAAATGTGTATGGCCCTGGCACTCCTTCCAGCAGAGTTGATTAGAGGCGAAAAAGGTGGCTTGAATCGAATTGAACTGTACATAGAGGAGAATGGGCTTAGCAATTCTAAGCCTCTACAGGACTTTATGGCGTAAGTAAATTTTTGTTTTACTGGGACAGTGCAAATTCAATGCCGGTAATTCTCGCCTATTAAATCATTTAATTTTTAGTATGGAAACAAATTTCTGAACTCTGATGCCCAATTTGACTACATTTTGCAATCAGGGACTACCAATTTTGGCTCACTTCAGAAACAATTTATGTACCATTAGTTTTGCTTGCACATAAGTGCTTCTACAGATGAGCCAGAAATTATAGCTCCTAATTGCAAAATGCGGTCCAACTGTTCTTAACCAGTCAAGGGGAATCCAGCTATTTGAGGAAATAATTTCATTCTGAAATGGATTGGAGTAAGTACTGTGCCTGTTTTTGACAACAGGGAATTTGAACTGCTGGACTCAAATACAGGGATTATTTAATAATGTGTTGAAATCCATTAATGTTGCGGCATTTATTGTGAATCAAATTACTTTGGGGCGATTCCTTAGCCAGATGAAGTTTCAATTGTACATTGACTGATCAATTTTTTTAGTGTATGTTATTCTTTTACTGCTTTAAAAGCAGTTCATGGCCATGCTCACAAAATTTCTATTCAAAAATTAACAGTTTAGGCTTATCCAAGTACAGGGAGGAAGTAACTAGAATTATTAAAACACCATTAAAACTCAATTGCATGTAGCATTTTATTTGCAAGCCAGTAATAACAGTTTTTCAATAATTTTAGCCATTTTAGTATTTTGCAAAGTCAGTTTTATGTGTTTATTGAACAAAAAAGGGAGTTCTTGCAGTGCTGTGCATGGATCCAGAAACATTAGATTCTTTCTTATTATGTGAATGATCCTGGTGCCAAAAGAATAGTTTACTGAGACCTCAGTATTTGAAAATATATTGGTTTTCTCCAGTCTGTAGTGGACAAGAGGGTGTGTCCCTCAAAAGTTCGCATTTTAAGGTATTTTTCTATTCATATTTTCTTTTATTCTATTTTCAGCTACTTCAAAAAATTCTGGATGAACCAGGTAACGCCAGAATGTTTCTCAGTGTACGGACAGCCCTGCCGAACCAATAATTGCCAAGAAGGGTTCCACAACATGTTAAACAGAAAAGTCGCAGTTGTTCTGCCAAATGTTTGGGTGTTAATAGGTATGTAGCATTATTATGGAAAGTGACCACTTCATATAAATGTAGAAACCAGCCTGTTAGTATACTTTTAAACATTTATTTGATTGGAAAGCGGGCTTAATTATTCAGCTGAGATAATTATATTCATGATTTCATTCTCTCATTTGAAACTGAGGAAGTTTTGCTCAGATTTTCTTTTCAAAAGCAACCCTCCCATACAGTACGCTCTTGTCTAAAATTATAGATAACAGATTGCACTTGTTAACTGTTTCATTTGTTCCCTCTTAAATAGTAGACAACTGAAATGGTGGCAGAATTGTTCAAGAGAAGGCGATAAGACAGTAGCTTTTTGTAACTATCCCTAAAGATGTCATTTTTTCGTTTTTCAAACTGCGACATCCTCATTTTTTGTATAGTTATTTTTTCGATGTTCAAACTGCGACATCCTCATTTTTTGTATAGTTATTTTTTCGATGTTCAAACTGCGACCTCATCATTTTTTGCATAGTCCTTCACCTGGTGTTCCTCTTCTTCCATTTTTAAATTACTTTAATAATGAAACAACCTTCTGATTTGCCAAAATTTTGCTATGTTTAATCATGTTTTAATACGTGAAAACTCAGACCATAAAAAGAGAGAGAAAAAAGAAAATAAAACTACAAAATATTAATACAAACAGTTTTAGAGGCTTGATGGAAGTGAAGGTTGTTTTGAATTTGATGTGATGGTTTTATAAAATAATTACTTTTTTAACAAGCGAACACAATAATTTTACTCGCAATATCAAAATTAAGTTTCGTTTGATGACTTACAGCAGGATTAATAGTGATTTTTTAATATACTGTGTTTCAGATCACTTGATATCTGTTTTCAAAATGGCTGTGTCTGAGTACAAAGCTCTATCCTCAGGACAATATGTGCCTAGTGGTTCAGGACCAAAATGGCTGTTGCAAGATAAGAGCATTTTAAATAAACAAATGCAGGTTACAGGCAGATCAACTGTTAAGTGCAGCATCTATGAATTTTTATCGTCCATGGCCCACAGAGCAGGAGGACAGGTTCAAATCCCTTCAACTTCGAGGGATGAAGTTTTGACAGAGGAACTGGGACAACTGGACGTCGGTGTACCGATTATTGAAGAGAATAACAACGTGGAAGGTAATCATTGCAAAAAATATGTTACCTCTGGGCCTGACTTACGTTGCATGTTAAAAGTATCATTGATTTCCCCAATTGTTTCTAGGCTATGTGACTGTTGTTGTTTCAAGAAGCTGCAGCCATAGACCCTTTTCTTAAAGAGGTTTTTTTTCACCATTTTGGTTGAAGAGTCTAAATTTAGTTTTTTAAATGGAAAGATATTATTGGGGTCCTAAAGAATTATTGTTGGGGGTTTGAAAGGTTCATTTGTGTGCCAGCTTAGGACGAAAAGTTGCATCATAGCCCAGGAATTATGTGCCTTTAACATAGTAGATTACTCTTTCATTTTGTTTTTTTCTGAGGAGCAATTTCTTGATCTGCCAATCTGACATTACTGTAACCACTGTTGAGTTTTAAATTTTTGCCAGTAGCCTGTCAGGGGTTTTCATAAAACTTCCAGAAAGTTTCAGTAATACATAGGAACTGATTCTGAACTCAATGAGTAGGGATCACGTGTTTCCCCTAGAGTCCAACAACAGGCATGTTTAGTGCTCAAAATTTTAGAGGAAAAATTCATTTAATGACAGGCACATTTTATTATGACCAAGTCAATGCCACATTGAAAGTTATGAACATTTCGGGTAATACCTAATTTTGTCAACAATGTTTGTAACATCTAAGTTTGTCTTATGATTTTTGGATCAACAAGTATAACAAAAGCACCAAAGTTAATTGATAGCCAACCAATTAAATGTTTGAATAAGTTGTATGCCTGTCTTTTCTCAAGAAGGTTTTAACATGTTCCAGTTGACCAGCCAGCCCCCTCAAACGATTCTGATCAGCCTACTCGCGGCAGCTCTCGACGAGGGCGTGGACGCGGACGCGGACGTGGACGTGGACGAGGAAGGGGACGTGGAAGCAGGCAAGCCCCTGCCAATGATATTAATGAATCAACTGAAGATGTTGATGAGCCAGAAGAGGTGGCTGATGAAACGTCCAATGGTAAGTATTTTGAGTTTTATTAATTTTGACGTAATTTTAGAAATTTCTTTTCTGTTTATCTTAAGAACAAATGGACTGCATTTTGCAATTCGGACCTATAAATTCTGGCTCATCTGAAAAAACACTTATGTGCATAGGGAAACTAATGGCACATACGTTGTTTTTAAACCGGGCTAGAAATTATAGTTCCAAATTGCAAAATGTAGTCCAAATGATGTAATGAAGCAGCAGAAGGCGTGGAAAGGTTACAGTCCAAGAGGAGTTTGATTGACATTAATGCATTATTGTCATGAAGTGCATAGTAAATATTTTAAGTAACCCTTTTGGATGAGGAGCTATTAGTGAAATGTGGTTCGATCACTTTGTATCAGGAATAAGTAGGTGAGAACCATACCTGAATAGCACTGTGCAATGAAAATACTGGTAAAAAATTGGCATTCAAGGCAATAAAATTGGAATTTTTTTTATTTCCATGAAATTGCAACATTTTTATAACTTTCGGTCAATAAATTCCAATTTAAACTATCAACAAAGTGAGATCTATGTGCCAAGAAGGTAGGCAAAGTGCAGTGACATTAAAAATTGCAATGTAATTAAATTTTATTGCATTAAGTTTCAATAGGCCGTGTGCCTTCAATCAGTAGATAGGCAACACACAATCCTGCATTGCAGTTTCAATTCTTTTGCAATGTAATTGGAATACTGCTAACTGTGATACTAGGGAAAGAGGCAGAAATGGTTCTGCATCCTTTGATTGTTAAGAATGCAATCATAGTACCATCACAATGGAACAAACAATGTGAGCAACTCTGAAGACGAGAATTAGCTCTAGATAATTTTATTCAGTAAATATTTTGATTTTATTTCAACAGCGCGCATGGGCACTCGGCAATACCCCAATGCCCTGTGTTCATGTTCTTCCAAAGTTTTATGAAGCAACATAAGCATGACTTTCAACAATGATCCTCTAGCTTTCAACAATTTAATGTCTCAAATTTGACAAGGATCTTACATTTGGGATGAGTGTGGACCTTTCCCTAAAGAATACATACTTAGTTTCTACTCAAGAAAGCACTTCTCTGACCGTTTAATCAAAATATTCGGAAACAGATTAATTAAAAAAAGTTAAAAAATTGGGTAGGGCTGAATTGTTTTCAGGATAGACTTAGGAATCTCATACTTAATGCCTTTTTTTGTAATTTTTGCAGGAACTGAACCTGAAATTGTTCCTGGAAATGCAGCTGCAGGTGCAGAAGGCACAGCTGCAGAGAATGCAGTTTTTGGTTTTAGAACTACAATCAATGTTGTCAGACGTGGACGCGGTCGAGGTCAACGTAGAGGTCGAGGCCCAGGTAGAGGTCGAGGCCGAGGTAGAACCGAAACTACTCCTGAAGATGTTGCTGGATCATCGAACAGTCAAGGTTCATGTCAAGGCCCAAATCAAGGTCTAAGTGAAGGGCACGCTCATATTGAGAACAATGATGTTGGCTTTGTTGCAACACCTGACAGTAAGTGTGTAAAGCTCCTTACAAAACTCTTTTTTTTAAAATGGATAAGGTTGATTGATTTTGGGATGAAGTGAAGTATGTATTATGCAATGCTTGCTGCAATGCATTTCATTTTTTAAATGAAGTAAGACGGTTTTCGAAAAAATTATGTGAAGTACACACTTCAAGTTGAGAGGAGGACGGAATCAGTCTTTATCATCGTCCTTCTCACTTGGAAGGAAGAAAGTGGAAGTGTTTCTTTGGAAGTCTGGAAAGTTAAATGAATGAAATATAAGACGAAGATGCATTGAGTCACAGAAGATTGTGGGTTCAAGTCTAAATAGATGAATACGGTAGAACTGTGAGTAGATACTTTATTTTTGCCTGGAAGTGACCGAGGCTGTGTTAGAAAAATACACATCCTTTGTGGAAACTGCCGTCTTGGGGATAATCTATTTTCAATCTGATGGTGAGAATTGCAACTTTTGAGAAGTGAGATGTCCTTTTTCTTTTTCCTTTTTTGGCTTTTTTTATAGGTTCTCATAAAATAAGGAAAAGAGCATGAGATATTAATGAAGAAATTTGAATTTGGTTGATTGGAAAATTAGTTATCACAATTGATCGCAATTTTTTCCCCCTGCATTACCATACATGATATCGTACTATACTGCTTTTTGCCCTCTGCAAAGATTTAGAGGCGTCTTAATTGAATTTTTCTCAGAAAGCACTAGAGGGCCCTGAGAGCACTAGATAATTATTTCCAGTTCAGAAGAATTTTGCTCATTTGAGTAAATAACGCAAAGGCAAAGTGTAAATACAACTAAATTATTGAAAAAATTAAGTCGCAAAATGATGATGGTCTAATTTTTTTAGAGAGATTACGTGATTTTTTTCAAAAAAAAACTGGGGTTCCAATGAATTTTTAAATCTCTTGCACACAAATGTTGCAGCTACTTTTCACAATCACATCGCAAACTTTTCTTAAATTTTTTCTATTAGAAATCAGCAGCATCTAATTTCAAGTTAAAACTAACCTTGGTTTTGCATTGTTTCAGCTTCAGACGAAACAGTGAATGATGTAGTGACACAATCTATGGATGATCAACCTTCTGAGCCTGTCATCGATCTCACCTCATCAGAAAATGCAAATGAGGGAGTGAATTCAGCAGATATATCCCCCCTAGAGAGGGGCAATTCATGCTCACCTTGTATTCCTCATCTTTCGGAGAATGAAACAGAAGGTACTGAATTTATCTTAATCTTTACATATTTGTGAATGGGTTGTCGGTTGGTGCATTTGTATTGCTATTGTGATTCAGCTGTGCTTCTTGCATTTATTGCGACAGATTTAAATGAGAGTTGATTACCATGAGAGGCAGTAGTCACTCATGGACAAAGTCTTTCAACGAGGAAGATGAACGCTGTCTGTAAAAGAAGGAGGCAATAATCACTCTGCGACATTTTAAATAGAAATATTATTGGAAGGATCGAGATTTTTTTAGTATTAGCAAGGACTGATCACTTTTTGTAAATGTAAAGGGGGGGGGGAATTTAAGGTAGTGACCACTTGAAATTCCTGCTCTGATAAATCAAAATTTTTTCTTCAATGAAATACAGTAAAAACTCAAACGATTCCCTTGTGCGTTTTTTTTCCTTTTTCTTCAAAGTAATCTCTGAAATTTCCGGAACAAATTGGTAGTTTTCTCAACATATTTCCTTCCTGTGTGTTTAATATTTGTTCTTGTTGTGCTGAAAAACGTGCAATAAGAAAGGCCAACTGTTGGAAACAAGTAAAGAAATTCTGAAACTAAGGTATAAGCAGTACTGCAATCATCCAATGCCTAGTAATCAGCTGAATTTAATTTGTCGGTTTGGTCAGCCTGATGCAGCAAAGTTTTGATAATGTCATGTTAGCTTCAAGGGCGTTTTAAAATTTCGGCCCAGCCCATCTTTTTACTGCTGAAGGTATTTTACAGCTATTGATTCATGATACCAGCCAGTACATTGTATATCTGTGCCTTCCAGTAAGTGCAATGATATGAAGTTTATTGGTGGAATTGAATGCACTTACAAACGACATAACCTGTGAAATCATTAATGTTTCAGAATCAGCTTTGGCAAATTTAATATCAACCGGTGGAGAAGGAACTTCAAGTGGACGGCTGGCATCATTCAGTCCACAGGAGCCCTCAACAAGGAGGCGTAGGATAGACCTAAATTCAGACTCTGAGCCTGAAGGTAAGAATATGGTTTTTCTTTTCATACTCGATTTTACTCCTAGGAATGCCTGTGGTTTCTCAAACTAAACTGCAGGTTCTCCTCAGAAAAACAAGTATTTGTTAGCAGTCTCTTGATAGGAAAGAAAAAAAATACTTTTAAGTGGACTCCAAAAAAAAAAAAAACCTTCACTGTGAAAAAATTATTGTCCAGCTCTACATTGTACGTCGCCTACAGTATCTTTCAGTCGTTGGTTTAGTCATATTCTTGATTACTGTTGTGAAATGTTCTTGGTACAACAGTGGTAGATTGTTAATTTTTTCCTACCTTTTTTTCTTGACACATCTATTCTCTTTGATGCAAAAACAACACTGCTGAGACCGAGAACAATGTGGAATTATCTTGGTCCAACAGTGATTGTTTATTTTTTCCTACATTTTTTCTTGACAAATTTATTTTCTCTGATGCAGAAACAACCTTGCTGAGAACAAGGACAAGGATAATACGAAGACCGAATAGAGGGGTTTCCACTGCTAGTTCCCGGACTACGCAGATGGTCACGGCTGCAGTTGAAAGCAACGAAAATGCATCTCGCAGAGGGCGTCAAGCCAGAGGTCGGAGGGCACGAACTCCTAGCTTCGACTTAGTAAACAACATTAATGAGTACGATTTGGAAGAAGACAGTTCTCGTATCGGTAAGTATTGTTTTTAATTTTGGAGTGTGATGAAGAATTTTAATAAGTGATTACATTCATGGCTTGCATAGCAGTGATAATGAAAACAGGGCTGTTTGTTTCTCAATAGAATCCTCCAAGTTCTGATTTATTAAAAATCAATTTTTTTTCTCAACTGAATTTTCATAATCCACCAGAATAATTTCTGTCCATTGTGACCTCCATGAAGAATTCGCCTTTGTGTAACCCTTCATCGTTGAAATTAGGCTTTAGTCTTAGGTTTTTTTATAAAATTAAAAATACTTAGTTTTAATGTTTCATTAGTTTCTCAAAACATCTTTGCTTTTCTTCTTCATCTCTTGAGGTTTCTATGAGCCATGAAGATAATTAGATTACCAGGTACAAGCAAAAACAATTGATCACATCACATCATTTGTTTTATTGGACTTTCAAACACATGTTTCATGGCTTGTAATAAGTTTTGTTGTGATCAGTAACCAAGCATCCAAAATCATTGCTGTCAATTAAACATGAGGAAATAATTGACAGAAAACGAGATCAAAGGAAAATTAAAAATGAAAAATATGGCATTGAGCACCCATTTTTAGAAAATAAAATGAAATAGATGCAATAACTCACTGTATTTTTTTTTTTTTTTTTGCTTGCTTGCTTGTCTTTGAATTGTGTGATTCTAAGTTTTCTATTAATACTTTTCAATAGATGGATATGGTGAGGATACTACATTCCACACATTATTTGAGAGAATTGGCAATTTAAAAGGAGGAAAAGCGACCATGTTTATTGATTTTTTATTAATCCTTTGGTCATTAAATGCTGCCAATAACTCCCTAGACTGCCATTTCAAGTAAATAATGTAATTTTTCAAGTAGTTAGCTGACGGAGGTGCTATGGAAGCCCCTGGATCATATTAACAACTTACATACCAATGAGACTCAGATTTTACTGTAATTCATGAAACATGTGTAATTTACATATTTCAGTCCCTCTGATAAGTCAGTTTACTATTTTAGTTAGCTCCTTCTCAAGTCGGTCTGCTTGAGGATTTTCAATTAATTAATAATGTTGCATCTTTGTTACAGGTGCAGTTCATAATCAAATGACCGAGTGGATGAACAGAGGGCGATACAATCTGAATGACCCAACTGACAGCTCAAGCGAGTCAGATGAGGAAGAAGGTATTAGTAGTTCATGTTTATGTTTACATAAAATATGTAATGTTTCAGTTCCAAATATGCACATTTCAATGGATGTCAAAAAAAAGTTAGTATCACTGCTGGAAGGAAAAGTATAGACAACATTCTCTCAATAGTGTCTCGGGAATGTTAAAACCAGGTTGCATTGAGAAGTTGTAACTTTGAAAGTAAGGAAGATGGAATAGATTCATTAATTTGTGGCTCATTCGAAGACATGATGAGGAGGAAGGGAAGTCGGTTCTCTCCTTCTAGTTTAGTTTGTATACAATATATTCATCTGAATGACCACTGTTGTAATATGGATGTCTTTAAGCTGTTGCAAATCATCTTTCATGTTTTATTTTTCATCGGAAAAAAAAAACTTAAACAGCAATTAATTTAAATTTTTTTCACTCATTTCAAAAAATTCAAATGCTTTCAAGGAGATATTTTGGTGATTTTACCTTTCTGCACAAATAAGGAAATCTGAGATGAGAATGTACCTATCGTTGGACTTATGTATATTTTTATTATTTCATTTCTCTCCAATCTCTTATTGCTACTTTGCAAAAGAACCTGATGATGTGTTTATTATGCAGCAAGGGAACAATATGATGTAAAATCTGTTTACAAGCAGTAACACATGTCCAGATTTGAGAGTTGTTTTTGTCCGATTTTAATCAATTTTTTCCTTCAAATACATTTTAGATGAATTTTTTCGTTGTATCAAGCTTTACATTTTTATTGTTCGAAAGTAATGAAGATTTCTTCTTCTTTTCCAGCATGGCAGAGAATGGTAGTCGTGGCCGATGAAAAAATGCACTTCACCAAGCGGCAGTCGAAGAAGCAACATAGCCTTCTAAAAATGGCAGTGTCCGTAGGGAATAAAACCAAAGTCTACCAGAACAGAAAAGAAATCTGTGTATCCTGCCAGCAAGAAGAATTTGTTTATTCCGCTGACCCCTGCGGGCACGCCATTTTTTGTTCTAATTGTATACTGGCTGGTATAAAACCATCAAAGTACACTTATACCGTTGCAGATGGCACAATCGCCACCCATCATTCCTACTTTGTGCCCGTCAAGTGTCCTCTTTGCAGGGCCATTATTGGCTCACTATACAAAGAGGCCAACTGAGCTGCAATTTTCACTCTCATTAATTTCACTCTCATTAATTTTCACTCTCATTAATTTTCACTCTCATTAATTTTCACTCTCATTAATTTTCACTCTCATTTACACTCTCATTAATATCCTTACAGACTATTAAATCTTGATGGAAGTTCAAAGGTCCTTGGTGTATGTTGTCCATATGTGTACTTTGATGGTTTTATACTGTCCAGTATTCAAAAAACCCTAAGTACATAGAAATCCCGATTTGTAAATCCTGCTTAAATTACGGTCACACGAAAAGATACTGTAAGATAGGCATAACTTGTATAATTTGTAATGAATCTCATCATAGCTCTGTATGCCCTTTATCTTTGTTACGTAGTTACACCTAGTTGCCTTCACTGCAAAGAACCCCATTTTACAACATGGAAGGGTTGTAAAGTCTATAAAAAATTAAGAAAAGCCAAATTAGAGAACTATCAAAAACAAAACTTAGCTAAGAAAAATGAACATCCCACTGACAAAATTGAAAATCCTGAAAATCTTAAAAAGAGCAATGATGAGAATAAAGAACTAAAAAATCAATTAAAAGAGCTGGAACTAAAATTCGATAAAGAAATTTCTTTATTAAATTCGATCATCATGTCATTAAAAAATGAGATCTCTAGTCTCAACAGTAAATTCGCTAATGCTGGTAATATTCTCCCACAGTAATCTCATAATTTGATAATAAAGAATTTCACCGTAGATAAGAACTTGTTTACACGAGGTGTCTTTAATCACCTCAATTTGTTACCCTGTGACTCACTAATTAGTCGGCCACGCTCAAAACGCTGTTTAAATATCAGATAATAAAAAAAATACTTGATTCTTGTGTATATATCAATAAATAAGAATCTGTAGAATCTTATTCTATAATCAATTTTGAAAGCAGTGCCTTATCCATTGTAGTACTATTTAAATCTCTCTATGAATTTCAACTCAACTCAAATTCTTCATATGGGTTGAATTTCATTTCGAGCTATCCAATCCTTAATCAGTAGTTATATTTCATGTATTATTACTTACCAGTTGTTCTAGTCAGGCGAAATTTTTTTCCCAATACGCTTGTATTGGTTTTTGTAACCTGCTCCATACATTCAGTAGTTTTACCTATCCCGATGATATGCCAACCTGGTGTTGCCGGGAACTTTATTAGATAGACTTAGTTAATAATAAGACCTTTCTAAATTTGTGAAAATTTTGATTAATTGTAACATGTATCACTTTCTCTAATAATGTAATTCAAAACTTTGTGTGACTTTCTTGTAATGAATGAAAGACTTTTTTGTGAGCTTTTATTAAAAATATTTTGTTATTTTATTAATAGTGTCTTCCTTACTATAATCGCCAAATTTAATTTTCCTGAATGCGTCAACAAAAGTTACTGTTTCATGACAGTATTCGTACATTTCATAAGTAATTAAATTATGATAATGATTTCTTTCTGTAAAGAAACAAGTCCCCAAGATTAGAAACATGGAAACGAAGAGGGAGAAAAATGGAAAACAAGGCTAAAAATAGGTATATTATTTAAAAATTATTTAAAATATTATTAAATATATAGTTCTTTACAGCCTTTATCCTGCCTTTTCTATCTTGTTAGTTTTCATGTCACCATTGTTTAGGCTGCTTCATAAAAATTTGTATCCAAGAATAGAAATAAATTTTCTTTGAGAGGAAGAAGTTTGTGAAATTGTGCAAACGTCAAATGAGGCAGTCATTCTGAGGACAAATTATGGGTCAAAAATTCGGGTATGCCACTTTCAGAAGCATTAGGCTCTCATTTTAAGAAAGAAGTAAAAATCAATTCCAGCATTGTTTTAAGCCTGCATGTTCGATTTAGGTATACCTCCCCCCCCCCACCTTGACCCTCCTCAAACCTGACGTTTACCCTCTTATAAGGGCCCTCTTTAGTCTCAAGTTGCTTTAAGTTTGGTATAAGAGAGCTATCAGAGCTCCTGGGATCCATTCCTGGCCCGCGCCTTCAATTGCACGTTATGTAATATTTCATGAAACGGGACTTGAACATGATTAGGGCCTTTTTGAATTATGGCGCTGGCGCCCATTTGAAAGAGGACACTTTAGGCGGCCCAATCAAAATCAGTCCTTGGTGGTCGGCCTGTTAGAGGTCTGTGTGCACTACTGCAAGTAGTCTTTATAATCTACTGCAAGTAGTTTTTTATAATCTTTGTCGGTGAAAATTGTGACACCGTGGAGGCTCAAAGTTCGAGAGCCAATCAGAAATGGATTCACATTGTCTTGACTCTCAGTATAAAGGGACTCTGTGCACCGCGCCGAAAACATAAACAAACATAACCTCATCATCCAATTGTGATAACATCTGCATTTGCCTCATTAGTAATTGCATAAATGCATAATAATGCCTCGGGTTAATAAATCATGTTTTTGTTTTCTTGGCTGGATACTATCTGCCCTTTTGAATATGCACCTGCGTTTCACGTGGATCGTTTCTCATTGAACAATTCGTAAGTTCTGAAATTCGTCTGAACATAAAGACTATTATCAAGGGTATCTACTTACCTACTTCTTACGTTCTTACTTTCTCATGCGCATGTGTAATTTACTCTGCGAATCATATTTTTCATCTAGTTTGAATTTGGATTGAGGGGAGACGGAAATTCTTCCTGGTTCTCCCACCCCCTGTTAATCATCCCCTTGATATTGTTCACATTCTTTTTTGAGTTCTACTCTACAATAGGGTGAGCACTCTCATTAGTACATTATGATGTTGACTGCAACTAGAACTTAATTTTTATCATCTTACATCATTGCCTGTGAGATGAATACACTAGTAATCATCTCAGTCTACAAATCAATGTCTGCTTTGTGCCAAAAATTAGAAAATCGGTAGGGAAGTCAATACTTTCTACCGGACAAGTGCACCTAATGGTCTCAAGGCAAACAATAAATGAATGAACTCAATCTGAACTGATGCATCAAAATTGGTAAACATCCTCTTATTTCACATCAGTAGCTAGAGATGATTTAATGTGGAAGTATGGTAGGAAGGATTGCATGATAGTAATGGTGTTCGGACTTGATGATCTCGGATGTTATGCTCAGCACTTTTAGGGGAAGGTGATCATAACATCCGAGGCTAAGAATCCAGCCTAATGTTTACTTGGAAAGCTTTCCAGCAAAGCACACGTGTAATTATAAGTTTATGTCACCAGTTTAACCACATTTGGTTCCTCTGAAAAAGCTTTGAAAGTTTAAAAAGTCAAAAGTACATCAGGCATCACCTAGAGGAACTGAGTCATGACATAATTACATGGTGAGAATCATGTCCGAGGTATCGGACTCCATGCTCACCCAATTCATTTTTATAATTGATAGTTTTTAATTTGAGCATGGAGTCCGAGAGCATGGATTGCTATTTCATTGTACTTTGAGCATGATAAGTGATGTTTCGGATGCTGTGATCCTTCTAATAAACTAAATATTTTGAACCGAGCATGGAGTCCGATACCTCGGATGCTATGCTCAAACAAAATACTGAAACAAAATGCGTCATTTAAAACTGAGCATGGAGTCCGATACCTCGGACCAGATGAGCAGAAAATTATGAAGTAAGTGAGCATGGAGTCCAATCTCTCGGAGGTGATGCTACAGTACCGAAGTGTGCGTGTAACGAGAGGCAATGTATGATCGACATGAATCGAACGAAAAATGA